CCTCATGCCTGGCTGCTGCGGCAGACCGGTAAGGTAGCCGGTTCTGCCTTTCCTCCTAGCCGTTCAGATGCGCTACTTGCCAGCAGCCACATCACGCGCTACTCCTGGGGAGAGAAAAGTCTCGCCAACAAACCAAACAAGACGCCAAACACTGCAACACGTTGCTTAACGTGTTAATCCAACATCTGACAGTTTTTGAGTTCTAACCTCCCGTATCATTGCAGAAAGCATTTTTTCCTACTTTGCAAATCACAAGCAACTTTTCCGCATGAATATTTGACATCACCTTAAAGAAAGTTTTATTTGTCTTCTGCGGAAACTCCTCGAGGCACTCCAGCTAGAGTTTTCTAGCAGTACAACTGGTGTACAACAGACAAATCCGTAAGACTAAGAATGTCCAAACAATCCCCTTTTAAGAGTGGGCACTGCGGCACCGGTCAGAAAAGCAGCAGCCATCGCTGAGCCTTCTGAAAAACTTGTACCAAAAGCACTAAGACAGAGAAGGCTCTGCAGGAAACGAATTCATTGAAGCTTCCTCACCAACCACAACGCAACTCAACTCCCTAATCTTCCAAGTACAAGCTTCTTACACGGAAAAAGCTTTCTGTACGTTTGAGAAAAAGGACTACCCACTTCTCTCCCCCAAACTGGCTTTGGAAATAGCTGTTTCAGCTTGAACTGGATCAAATTTCGGAGACCATGGGTCAATTTGAAAGGGCAACTGCTGGCACGGCTTTTTTTTGGTAAATGATTAAGAAACTAAACTGTAGGGCACAATGCAGGAGAACATAAATCTGCCAGAGTGTATCCCGGACTGGTCAGGCTTGCTGAACACCAGGCGTCGGCAGTAGCAAACACCCAGCGTTTCAGAAAAGGGCACGTGCTTCCCGGAGCAGTAACGCTCAGCGTTTCCGCAGCGTTTTTCATGAGCAGATCCCCTACCACTACAAAGCAGGACAATGGCACTGTTACTCCGGGGCTGCAGAAACAAAGAAGGGTCAACGATTAAGCTCAGTGCTTCACCTGGGAGCAGGACGTGAGCTCTCTCTGCCCCTTCTTACCCCTGTCAGCCGCGCTCCACAGGCGCAGTGGCAGACTGAAAAAGCGAGGCAGGGAGCAGGGAGGAGTGACAAAAGCCAATAAACTTCTCTGCACCAGTAAACTCTTCCCTGTGCTGGAGAAGGGCAAGCCCAGGGAAGGGGAAGAAGTGAAGCACGAGCCCAGAAGACTCGCTGGGGCAAGCGGTCGTGCGTACAGGAGGCTCTGCCTCCCACCTGCCTCCAGAAGGAGCAAGAAACTCACGCCTCCTCCTTGGCAAATCCCCAGGGTGTTCAGGCATGCTGAAAGCCCCGCAACGGGAGGAGTTTCAGAGCTTCCTTCAGAGCTGCTGGGCAGTTGGAGGGAATAAGTCCAGCATTATTCAGCAAGGCTCTTGGAGAGACGAGGCTTTGGTTTTTCCCTCAGAGAACGTGCCTTGCAGCCAGAAGGACAAGATGTCCTCTGCTCCCCAGGGACAAAAAGCCGACCTTGCCGAGCCACTGGGTCCGGGCTCCAAGGACAGCCTCCAGCAGCACACTTGTGCCATCTGCTGCCAACAACCGCGGCCGGGCCGAAGCCCGACAGAGGCTGTGCAAGGCCTGAGGTTCTGTCTCACGCCCTGGTACAAAAGGTATGCCGTGCCCTGTAAAGGGCGGCTTCAGCAACGTCCTATAAGCTGAGAAAAGGTTCTCCTCACGGCGATTTAAATCTGACTTGCTAGCTCAGGGATTAAATGACCACGGCGGCGCATTCCAAGTTGTAAACCAAACCGAACACCTAAGAACCAGTGTAATTCTGCCTTGTAAACCTGATTTTACAGCTTACGTACAAAACCTGGAGTCGGTGACAGAAGTTTCAAACGTGCAGAGCAAGCCATCAGTACCCACTACAACATGAAGAGTACGGGTGTTCTCTGACCTCTTACAGGGTCATTTTCCAAAGACGTTCGGCTGAAGGCAGGTGCGGCATCGGAGGCATCAGACAGTGTGCGGCGAGCGACAGCAACCGGCAGTGGTGGATTAGGGATATCATAACCATCATCTTCATTTTCTGACTCTTCGGCCCCGTTGCTGGCGGTGGCTGCTGCCAGATCCCCTTCATCTAGAGTAAGAGGCACATTTTGAGCTCTGGGACCGGGCAGAGCCTCTGTCCCTCAAAGCAGACTCTGTTCCCCTGTAGTCCACAAACGTGGACAGGCCACAGAACTAAGGTTTTGCTGCCAAACCCCCACGTTCAATGGAAGCTCTTTCCAGAAGGCAGCATTAGATTAAAAATACTTAGGATAGGCGTGGGCTGAGAACTGACGCCCAGGGGAAAAAAAAATCCTCTTCAAACCAGCAATTTTTTTAACCACCGTTGAGTATTTTCACAGCGCATTCCAACCAGGCTTCTCAACAAGATCCCCACGTGCAGCCTGCAGCAGACAGACTCAGATGTTTCCACGTACATCCTAGCTATTTCAACAGCGAAAGCGAGTAAGGTTTAATTTGACCTAGAATGCTGTTCCGACTGGGACTGGGACCAATTCATTGCACCTCGGTTTCTCAGTTGCTTTTTTAGCACGCCCACTCACCAGAAGCGATGACAGTCTGGAAAGCTGAGGGCGCTGCTGGGGAGGGGCCGTTGCACGTTGCTCCGTACGTACAGCCGTCCGTCTGCCAGCTGCAGTCCGAAACTCCGAGGGAGAGAACACGTATTTCCCTTCGGACAAGTGACAGCGGTCAACCACCACCACCACCTCGTCTCTGCGAGGGATATTCTGCACAGATCCCCGCTCCAACGCGAAATCACCACTGTTCTGTGAAAGAATATTTGTTCCAGAAAACGTTCTAGTAATGTCTATTGCAATACAGCATATCAGCTTAAAAGACTTTAAGCGATACCACCAGAACACCACCTTTTAATACCATTTTGAATTTCAGCCGCTACTGCTCTCAAAAGGTTACCGGCAGACAGGGGTGGGAGCGCTCACCCGACTCCTGCAATACCGTACAAGGATTCTGCAAAAGAGCAGTAGTCCCGTTTCATTCCCAGTGAGCTACGTTACTCGAGATCTGGTGAGCGTCACCGGGGAAAGTCAGCAAACCAAGCAGGCAAAATCTCCACCCTAGTAAACAAATACGCCTCCCCAGAGCCGCGAGGAGGAAGCACAGCGCGCACAAACAGAATCCCACCGTAAGCTCCGAGTCGCTTCCAAAGGCGTTTTGATCGCCGGTTTTTGTAGAGCGGGACCTGGAGGCACCACAGGCCTCCAGAGGGGACGGTGACATGCATTCGGTGTCATCGTCGCTTTCAGACTGTTCCCCAGGAGGCAGCTTTGGTCCAGGCAGCAGTCTGGAGGGGGAAGAAACAAGATATAAACGTCAGAAACACATTTACGCCAAACGTAATTAATATTAAGGCGGCCTCTAAAATCCACAGCGGACGTAAGAAGCCGTCATCGTATAGCGATTCTGTCTAAAGAAATGACCTGGCTTTCGGGATTCTCAGCAGCCCGGCTGCCGGGTCACGCTGGCACCAGGTCATCGCGCCAAAGGAAGCCGACGCTATCGTACACGTTACCCATTGCCTGCTTCACATAAAGACCAGCTCAGGAGTGAATTCATAAAAGAGCTAATGGCAACGGTGGCCCGTTCCCTGTGGCCGCAGCCCAGGGTAACTACCACCACTATCCACCAACCTTTGGATGCCGATTTCATCTGCTTTCTCTAAACTGTGTATTTTGAATCTGTCGGAGATTGAAACTAAGGCTGACAGAGCTGTGTCAAATTCTGTCCCTGGCACCAGCATGGGGAGAGCCCTACGACTGCCATTCTGTAAGTTAGAGAAGAGCACGTTTGCTAGAAAACAACAGACCTGGCAGCTAAGGAGTAGATCGCATTGGCAGACGAGGAGGGTTTCATTTTGGGGTGTTCACGCTCTGGGGTTGTGGACGGACCGCTGTTCAAGCTCTGAAAGAAAAAAATTCAAAGCAGGAATCAGAAACGTCCTCTGGGGGAATGAAGCATCTTCGTTATCCCAAAGCATTTACCGACACCTGAGAAACCCAGCGGGGCTGCGACAGTTTTCCCTCAGGGAGGGCACGAGCAGGGTTTTTCTCCTGTAGCCGACTGTCTGGTTACCCAAAAACTTCAGGAACTCCGTATCTTTTGAGACTCCAATGGCTTTGGCAAATTCAGCTGAAACAGGCCAAAAGGCCAAAATGTTAACGGGGGACAAGAGGACACACATACGGAGACAGAATGACAACCGTGCAAGTGTCATTTTCTTAGCCAATCTGGCTAAAAATGTACTTGCTTTCGATTTGAGAAAGCTGGAGGTTTTAAAAGGGAAAATTAGGGGAATGGCATCAAAGAAAGCAAAACTGCCTGGGATTTCTTTTAGAAAACAACACGGTGGACGAGTAAGTTACACATCATGACACCGGCAATAGTAACAGATCCAAATTTAACTCGGATTTTACTGTGTTAAACTAATCATAGCCACTGTGTGTGCAGGTTTTACAGGACCGAAAACTGAGAAGAGTAAGTTCCATTTTTTCAGCATACCAGCTCCCTATACGAAACCTCCTCAGCTTTACAAAATTGAAAGGTGAACGGTGATCGTGAAATTGTGTCTCGTGGCTGCTCAAACCGGGATTTCAGCCCCGCTGCCAAGAGGCACGAAAGCGCTTCCCTAAGAAGTCCTCCCGTTATTCTCCCTTGCCTGGCATTCCCTCGTCCCTTTCCCTCTCTCCCTTGGCATAACACCGCCCTATTCAGACGTAAACTAGAAGAGGGCACCTTGGAAGCTTAAGTTCTCACGAATTACCTTTACCTCCAATAAGGCCTACTCACCGCTGGGTTGTCCAGGCTGAGCGTGCTCCCAAGCCGATGGCTGTCAGCCCCGGGCTCCATCTGCGAGGGCAAGGAAAAGGGAAGCGAGCGTCTGTTGGACAGTTCTCTCCCAGCCCAAGGGTCACCAGGGCTGAGAGCTACGGACAGGGCTTTTGGCATGGGCCTGGAGCGCCACAGATCCGCCTGACGGCTGGAGGGCACCGGGGGGTTTGTCTCTCGAAGGACGGTCTCCTGGCGTGCAGGGCAGGGGACGTCTCTGAGGTCGACCTTCAGTCCCGATGGAATGTGGCCTGTCCGGACGCGGTGGTGGCGGGAGATCTCTGAGCGTGGGTGGCATCGGCAAAGGTTTATCCTTGTGAAGAGTACCAGGTGCAGGCCTGGAAGGCAGAGGAATGTAAAACGTTGCCTAACAAAAGGAGTCTAGCCCCAAAACATACAAAGGAGGGAGGCGGGTGACAGAAAGGTGAGTTTTGGTTTTCGCTTTATCTATTTTTACAAGAAATTATCTCAGAGGATGTGGAGATAACTCTCCGCATCTCCACAAGTTAACCCTCCAGAGACACCTTCTCCCCAGGCTTGAAGAGAGAACACAGTAACTACGTGCGGCTACCGCTAGGCACTGAACACCCCAGATCATTTTTCTTGAAGGGAAAAAAAAAAGCTTACGGCAGTATTAGACTGGATTCCGAACAAAGGATACCCATCATTTAAAAAAAAAAAAAAAAGATTTAATTGTGGGTTATTTATACAGGTTAACATCCATCAGTCAGCTATGAATAGTCATACAACGGGATATTTTCTTCTGCCTGAACTTTCAAGCATAATTTCCCGACTTCATCCAAACCAGCCGAAGAACCGCTGCCGTATCTCAACAGCCACTGACCCAATGCCAGCGAGATCACATTACTGCCTTCTGCCCGTCAACCAGAAAGCCAGTTACTCTCTCCCAGTCACGCACATTTCATTCCTTCCTCGGTTTTCTATCGGACAAAGTGCTCGATGGAAAAATTTGCGAAGAAAAGGAAAGTTTGGACAGGGCTACGACCCCTTCCCACATCTAGCCTGCTAGCTAGAACAAAACGAAAGCCCATAAATGCGGCCCCAAAGGGCGCAGGCAGCAGTGGCTGAGGCTGAAAACCAGTGAAGATATTGGTAATAACGACAACTTGGTAGTTCGACAGGAGGACACCAGTTCTCCTAAGTGAGCAGGTACTTCAGCCTAGGACCAGCTTCTTTCTGGCAACTGCACGGACAAATGGGAAGAAGAGACAGGCCCTTTCAACAGCAGAAGGGGGCTCTCCTACCACGGGTTCCAGAAGGAAGGGTGGCCTGGGGAGCTACCGAGAATGGGGAAGGAGGACGCTCGACCTGAAAAAGAAAAGAACGGGAAAATCAACAAGTGACAAAATCCAGCAGAACTCCTTTTCTCTAGAGAGGCTTTCGAGCTCCGTGACTTGTACTGGCTTCAGTATCGCCAACGGTAACAAATTACTACGTTAATAACCACCGTACAGCAGTAAACGCAGGCGATTTCACAGCGCCGCAGCATTTGACTTGCAGCAAGCCTTGAAGATCGCCAGTGGGCACGCAACCAGAAATGCACGTTAGCAACGGCACAACAAGACAGGCTGCTTGGCTGGGGTACCAAACCTGCCTTGCTGGGCCCGGAGCAGAAGCAAGCTGCTTTGCTTTTCGACACAAGAGGGCACGCTCTGCCGCGCATCCTACTTAGCGCTGGGGGCACCGCTGTGCCAACCGCCTCGACTACAGCGTCGTGGCTGGTGCAGCAGTCGCTAGCGTGCACCAAAGCCTCCATTTTTGTCCCCGGAAAGCCGTCTTTCAACCTAACGAATCGGAACAGCGCCTGTTCTTCTCCTTTGCATAAATGTTATTTTACAAGCAAGGCTAGCGCTTTCTAACTTCGAACAGCTTTACGCAGGTTTGAACTCACTCACGCCACCAAATACAGCGTACTAGCCCACTGCAAGCCACGACGGGATGTCACACGGAGGAAACTGCTTTGCTTCCCCAAGCTATGCATACAAAAACTCCCTCCGGGAACACCGTTTACTGTTTAGTACGCTCTTTCACAGGGTGGCAGCCAGAGAGAGATACGATCGTAGGTAAACCAGCGCAGAGGATTCTTGCTGACCAGGAAAGGCAGCTTATTTTAGGGAATTCAGCTATTAAAAACTCAAACCCACTTCCCTGTGCAGTAAAACAATACCAGAGCGCAGATGTCCAAGAGCGACAAACACGCTTTTAGGAAAAAACATGCAGGCATCCATAACGAACGCCCGTCTCGTACACATCTCCGGGAAGGAAGCGGCACGAATGGCAGCGAGTTGCCGCGCCTTTAGTACGCAAACTTATCAGACACCATATAAAAAGATGACAGTCAAACTGGCTTCCTCAGCAAAACAGCCTGCCCTCTACCCGGTCGGTCCTCAGGACCTCGGGAAGACTCCGTCTGCTTGGCTGCATTCGCCACTGGGGAAAACGGACGAGTTGTTGCCGATACGGGTGAACTATGGCTAATAAACCAAAAGCAACATTGCTAAGCATGCAGTGTAGCGTTACTGTGTTATTAAACTAGCAGTTTTAATACCTGTGCACAGCTTTTTTCCTATTCTCTTTTTTTTTCCTCTTGAAAGAAGCGCTGGTTTTATGTTGAGATAGGAAGCTTATGTGTTTGTAAGGGAAGAAGAGATGGAACCAGTGGGCAGCAAGCACGGATGGAGAAAGCGCTGAAAACAGCAGCTTATAAATTACAGGAAATAAATAAGGAAATGAAAGCGTGGGGCGTTAACTAACTAGACCTCAAATAGCACCAGAACCTCCTCTGGAAGGCGCAATTAGAGTTTGGGTAACTAAACCAACTGTTTGTAACAGCAGCCTTGGCTATTTTTGTCTCCCTGGGGTAGCAGAGCCGGTAAGGAGGGTTGCCGGCCCTGGGCGGCACCCGCTCTTGTTTGCGCTGTCAGATGCGCCTGCACGAACGGCGAAGGTATAACTTGCGCTGCTCTGGCGGTCAGTTGCTATGGCTGGTGGTAAAAACCGAGAGGAAAACGGGAACAAATGAAGGCGGGAGGCTTGGGCCGCGCTTCGCTGCACTTCTTACCACACTGCGCCGTGACCTGGTGGAGCTTCGCCGTGGTTCACCGTGCCGGGGTGCGCCGCGATACCGGCGTCCTTGGGGAGCTGTGCGGCGTTTTACTGTCCTGTGCCGTGATTCACCACGACGGGAGGCAGCGACGCCACGATTCACGGCGCTGTGCTGGATTCACTGGGCTTCACGCTGGTCTGCGCTGCACCACGCTGCGCTGCTCCACCGCGATTCATCGCGCTCAGCTGCGACTGGGGACAACCGTGCCGTGCCTCACCTCCCGCTGCCACGCAGAAGCCATGCGGTGCTGCGACGCGTCAGGGAACGAGAGCCCTGCTGGGAGCGAGTCGCTGCGCTTCGCCGGATCCATGCACGGTACCGGAGCTGCACCGCACTCACCTGGGCTGCTGGAGCAATGCTGGGCCGTGCCGGGGCCCACAAGGCTCTGTGCAGCAGTTCGCCCCTCCAGCCAAGGCGGGTTCGCCGTTCGGCACGGCCGGGCTCACCGGTGAGTCGGCGCCGCTCACCGGGGGCCGCGGCACGGCGTGGCAGCTGCTGGGGCGTCCGTTCCCGGGACCCTGCTCCCATCCCTTCCCCTCCTCCTGCCCAGGGCTCTGCAGGGAGGCCCGGGGCTTCTGCGGGACGCATCGGGGCTCGTGGACGGATCCGGGCCGCCCCTCTCCGTCCTCCCGCGGCGTTCTGCCCCAGCCCCTGCACCGCCGGCTGCCCTGCTCGCTTAACAAACGCCCACGTATAAACATAACCTTTATTGCACACAGCGCTGGGTTTTTTTTCATAGAAAAAGGTATGAACACGTAAGCATTTGCAAATTGAAGCAACTCCTGTTGTTTTCAGAACAGTAAAATAGCATGCAATGTCTTTGAGACGTTCCTTTTTAAAACCACCGACAAGATCAGGGAAGAAAAAAAAAAAAGTCGCTGAGTCTTTCCTTGTGCCCTTTCAAAATGATGTGAAATATATATATGTTTACATATATATTATATTTTTAAATCTGTAACATCAAATTCTTTGTGCCCTGGTTTCTTTTTCTGTTCGGAGAAGAAGAAAATAGCTTCATTTATACAAAAGAGTTCATTATGTACAAGTTTGTTAATTAAATATAAATGGCGCGGGAAACGAGCAGCGTCCGTCGCGGGCGGTCTCCGGCCGGCGCCCTACACCAGCGTGTAGGACTTGGAGTAGGGTCCCGCCCCCCGTTTTTGAGACCTGCCTA